TCCTCCTCAGAGACTTTTCGCAAAGTGTATAGATTCAGGAGTGTGTGTTTTCAGTTTGTTATTAATTTATATATTCCATTAAAGTCTCTGGCCTGGGCCCTCCCTGGTGGTGCAGCAGGTTAAAAAGCAATTCTACGAACCTAACTACTATAGCAGCCTCAACATGAGTTTGATCTGCCTGCCCTGGAGCTGACCCTCATGGCACAGTAGACCTTTCCTGTCTTGCTAGCTGCTCCCCTCAGAAGTGTACTTCAGTTAAATCTGCTGTTCTTCTCCCCACTCTGTCTCTGGTGAATTCTCTCACTGACTCCACCTCTGGCCTGTACCCCAGTTATATATGCATAAATAATAAATCAAAACAAAGTGTCTGGCCTTTGTGTAATATACATTTCTCTGCTAGCACTGAATGAACATCTCCACTTACTTCATCACTTGAAAACCTATGGTCCTTTCTTCAGCTAATAGTCTTAATTTATATAATTACAACATTATATTTTGCTTCTCTCTTCAGTTGCTATTATTTATTTTGTATTCCCTTAATTTTGATTGATGGCACAGAGGTTTATTTTTCCCTTGCAATAGCTATTTCATTGTATGGATATGGTAAGGCATTTCTTCTCAGCCTTATCTAAACTGTTTGATTAGCTGCTAATGTGCAAAATCATTAATGGGAGATCCAAACCGCTGAAATAAAGAACTGATGAATTCCAGCCCCACAGGCCTTATGTAGTTCAGTCTTTTCAGCTGAGTGCTTTTTCAGAGGAGCAAACAAAAATCAGCAGTGCTCCAGGCACTGTGTGAAATGTGCAGGGTATTATTATATGCTGTAAAAAGTTAAATGTAGTTGAAATAAAGACCCTCTCCGCAGCATATAATGTGGGTTGCTGCTTTTCAACACTAAATAAGCAGTTTGCTATAGCAACGGTGTATCCTGTTCTATAATCTGACATCCATTTGTGAACTGTTCAAGGGTTACCTTTTTTTTGAATTACAAGAGTTTATAAATGATTTTATTTAGCAGATTCAATGTGTGTATCTGTGTGTGGTTTTCTTCTTTAAGGAAAAAAAAAAAAAGCTTTCTTTATGGCATACCCTGTAATTACCAGAAACCACCAGCTTTTATAGTTGTATGGAGTGCCAGGTATCCCAAAGAATTAGGCCTGATCAACCAGTGACTGAGTGACTGAGTACCCCTTCATGCTTCCAGGGTAAACACCTAAATATCTATAAAGGACATCACAAAAGGTTTTCAGTAAAATGGTAGGGGCTTTTGTGTTGTCCTTGATTCCTTGAAAGTATAATCTTAATAATTCCAGAATCTTGTTATTTATGTCATTGAAGAAAATTAATATATTTAAATATGTGAATACAAATGGCATATCCTTGGGGTTTTTTTGTTGTTGTTGTTGTTGTTGTTGTTATTTTGTTTACTTATTTGTTTGTTTGAAAGCTGGTGGTTAAATGAACAGATTATCTAATTAGTAATCTAGAATTTACCTAATCATGATGATCCTTAATGGATACAAGGGAAGTAATATTATGAATAAGAATCATAAGACTATAATATATCATAGCATCACATAAAATTATCTCTGTACATATTGTGATAGCAAAGAAAAACTAAAGGGCAAACCAAATTATTAGTTGTTACATTGTGATAAGATACTGAGAAATGGTGAGAGGGTGCCCACAGTACTGTTGTGACAACAAAATATCAACTATTTTATATATGTTTCTGTGTTTTGGGTCTGTGTAGAAAAGCCATCTGGTGATAGGGATATTTTAACTCACCTGCTCAACTACTCTCATTTGCTACTTTTTCATTCCACCTAACTGGCTGTAAGGATTTGGATCTGGGTTATTTATATTTCTTCCTTAGCATAGCTTTTTGCTTGGACATTATCTCCAACACTTTAGGTCCTTGATTATGACTTACTTAAATGGCTGCTAGTGAGTCACTTAAGCTACAGTTTACATTTTGAAATATTTGAGTGTCTGGAAAAATAAATTAGGTAGGGCATTAAAAAGACATGCTTTAGGTTATTTAAAAGGAGTTCATTGTCTGCTCCCATTGGAAGAGAGAAGGAAATCCCCCATTCTACTTTTTCTCTGACAATTTATAGGTGTGTTATTTCCTAAAACGATAAGAACTATCGATTTAGGATTGATAGTTAATATTTCTGATGAATCATAAGACAAACCAAAAAGACAATTGCACTACTACTGCACCCCTTTTGTTGGGTAAACTATGAACAATTAAATATTTCAGGCTTCCTATATGGTTTTTCATTTTGTAAATAAGAGGAGATATGGAATTTAGCATGCTTAAGTCAGGATATACAGCAGGCAGTTGGGCTGCCACTATTAGTAACTGTTGGAGGAGAGTTTGAACACTACTTATGAAATGGATAGCATTTGGTAAAAATTATGATCGGGCCCACCCTGGTGGCGCAGTGGGTTAAAGCACAGCAGTAAGAAGCTAAAGCCACTTTAGCATGAGTTTGAATCCCACCCAGAAAGTGACCCACATGGTGCAGCAGATCTTTCCTGACCAGCCTGCTGCTCCCCTCAGCAGTGTTCTTTGTCAGTCAGCCTGTTCTGCTCCCCACTCTGTCTCTGGTGAATGTCTCACAGCCCCTGTACCTCTGGCCTGTACCCCAGATCTGTATGCATAAATAAATAAATCTCAGAAAAGATAATAATAATAAAAAAGAATTATGAGCACTTGGTAACTTACCATGCTACTATTGATAATTGAGGGGGGAATAAGTTGGAGCAAAATTGTGCAACTGTTTCTCATGCCCAAGCAAATAAACTACAAGAATAAATGAATGCTTTAGGGAAACAAAAGGAAATCTAAATATTATCAGTGGATTCTATCATTATCAATATCCTTGTTATAAATACTACCAGTGGGGAAAATGTGCATGGAATCTCTATTTCTTCTTACAACTGTATGTGGAGTATGCAATTATCTCAAAATCTCCATTTAGATGAAAGGGAAACCAGTTTAACGTCTTATAGTGCAGAGAAGCATAATTATCACATTATCTAGATTACCATTGTGTCATTACAAATCACTGAAATTTTCCCTGAATAATGAAGAATATAAGCCTTAAACCTTAGAAGAGGAATAAATGAAGAGATTTCATACTATGACTACTGAATATGCAACTGATAGCACTCTGTGAGCCTAGAGGTACTGAGATCTTGTTACCCAATGTCATCATCATCATCTGGTGATAAGGGATGGGGTGGAGGCAGGACCATTCATGGGTGTATCTGATACCTTTGTTTTCTAGAAGAAGAGTTATGATGTTTCAATTCAAATTGAAAGTAATTTCAGCCATAGGACAAAGCCTTTGGTGTTTCATAGTTGTAAAAAAATGTTAACTCCATGTTTACCCTTTACTATTTCTTGTTTAATAATACTTGTATATTCTACATAAGTTCTAGTAAAATTTCATTTTCCAACTTAACAATTATCCCATGAATTTATTTGAAATCTTCTTTTAGGTGATATTGCTTCTATTTCAAAAGTTTATGTATGCTTTGTTCTTGTTGATACTGTTGTGTGGGTTTAACTACATATAATAGCATAGGAAAACAGTATTACTTACATTTTAGGATGACAAAGCCAAATCAATATTTTGTGTTCAATTGAATGCATCATTATAAGAACTACTTAGAGACCTATCGTTATTTTATTGTATCAGGAAAAATAAACCCGAAATACTCTGTCAGGAAGCTCAAATAATTATGTGACATATATTTTTAATGGCAAGACAAAATAATTTTGAAATTTTGTTCACTGTCTGAAACTACATCAGTTCCATAAAAATGTCAACCAACTAATCATAGGTGTATGACAGATTTGAACAATCTGTCAGCCTTCCAAATTGCAAATTACTGCCATAAATATTTAACATTATTCAGATTCTTATCTTATACATTTGAACTACAATATATCAACAGTTTTTTGGTTTTTTTTTTTTTCACAGCCTTGTCTGAGTTTATAAAGGAAATTCTATTTTACAGAACTAGTCATTGATCATATATTGAGTTCAACTGGCTATATTTATACAGGCTCAAATATGTACTGATCCAGTCCTTTGTTCTTATAAATATAAGTTGGTCTCTTGGTCTTTTGTATATTTACCTGTCTTGGTCTTTTATATATATATAATTTACCACATAAGCGTTGATGAGAATAATTTACTTTTGTCATTTAAAACAGATAAATTCCTAGTCAAAAATTGAAATAAATATATCATTGGTGGTAATTGTGAATATAAAGAAATAGATTACTAACAAATCAAATAGCAATATAAGTGGGAAAATATATGTCAGCATATGTTCATAACATTTAAAAATAATCTAGGATAAAAACAATGCCATATCTATTTTAGTTATTAAATGAACTGTTACATAGCTGTTCATTTTATAGTTATAGAAAAGCTGGTTTTATGTTTCTAAGCATGTTTTTGTTTCAAAAATTATATAGTTTTGAAATATTTTGAACATTCTGTTCTATATCCTTATACTATATATTTTGTATTACATAAGTGGCAACTTCAATAATAAACACATTTAAGTTTAGCCTTTTTTTTGTAGTTTGAAAAAAACTATTGAGTTAAAATATTGAGCAGCTTTCCAAAAAAAAAAAAAAAAGTCCCTTTAAGCAAGTCGAGGTAGTGTTTCTCAAACTCTCATGTGAATATAAATCATCAAGGATCTTGTGGAAGCTGTCAGACCTGGATGGTCCATCTATCCCGGCTTTGTGCTCCGGCAGCCACGCTCTGTGCTACAGGCTAATAGCGTTTATGTCATCCCAGATCCCGCAGCGTGAAGGACAAGGAGTGAAGTCGGTCACACCTGCACACTTCTCTGGATACTAAATTTAGGCTCTCAAGTGGATGGGCTGCATTTCTTAAGTTTGTTGATATTCCTCTTTAGCTTATTTTCAATTTTTTTTTTTTTTTTTTTTTTTTACTATTTAGCTCTTTTGATAGCAAGTTTGTTTACCAGCAGAGAGGTCTCGGACCAATAGAAGAGGATACTATACTTGTCATAGATCCAAATAATGCTGCAGTTCTCCATTCCAGTGGAAAAAACCTGTGAGTATAGTTCTGTATGTTTTTCTTAAGTTTAATTCTGTATGTTTTTCTGTATGTACTGCCTATGTTGGGTACAAAGTGTATTACCGGGTCTGAGCTTGAAAAGAGTGTGTTGGACTGGAGTGGTGAGAAAGCACAGCTCGAAAAAGCAGGAGGCTAATTGAGTCATCCCATCTTTCATTTTTTAAATAGGAGTTTCTAAACCCTGACAGAGTATTAGAATCACCTGGGAAGCTTCGACAATTAGATCCAAATTTAGTCTGGGATGGGGCCCACACATTATAAACCTACTTTTTGAGCTCCCCAAGTGATTCTAATAGTCACTCAAGCTTAAAAGCCATTGATACACATAACTAATGAAATGAGCTGCTGGTCAGTTAAATCTGAAAATTAAAAAATAAATTCTTTAGCTAAAAATAGTCATAGCTAGGCTCATCAAATATTCACCATTAAGAAAAAGTCCTCTCTTCCCATCTTAAAATGAAGAGTAAATAAATGTCATTTTCAGCTTCTGTTAGCATGCAAAGGTAATTTGGCTTTGAATGCACTTATTATTTGGTCTTATTCCTAGATGGCATTTGGCAGCCAAAAAAAAAAGTTGGCTGATGTTCATGGTCATTGAAAGAAATGGGCAGCTGCTTGCAGAGTGTCCTCAACCATTTTAACCTGGCAGCTTCTGGAGCTCTACCGTACTCCATCTGCTTAGGAACAGGGAGCGCCAACTCCTTTGAAAGGCAGGGCGCTTTCTGCTTTGAATACAGCTACTTATGGAAATGTGGTAATTAGATTTTTTTATGGGGTTCTACAATGTCAGTTGAGGGGCCAAATCCTAATACCAACTCCCCCACTCAGTGTGTTTGAACTTGTCTTTTCAATACTCTATCATTCTTATTCTAGAAAGGAACTAAAGAAGCAGGTAGGGAAATGGCTACTAGGTTAACTAGGTTAACAGGGTGTCTAGGTAAAAAACAAAGCAGAACCCTCATCTTTGGTGTCTAAAAAAGAGGTCTGTTCCAGTTTTCAACATCTGGGTATGACAGTGTTGTCTCATGAAGAAAATATGTGCTGCCAACAACCTGCTAGGACTTATAATGGATTTGTAGTCTACATATATAGACTTTAAATGGTTGACTACCACATAAGAAGTGTCACAAGAAGCCTCTGTTACATTTTCATTTAACCATTCATTTTGGTCTTTCCTATAGTAATGCAGGTATACATTTATTGATTTACATGGCATTACAGATATATTAGCAGAAAAATCCTCACATGTGTGCTTTGGAAAGCAACATATAATTAAACAAGTGTTTTTATTTTGCAGGTTTTACTTACCACATGGCTTGAGTATTGATAAAGATGGATATTATTGGGTCACAGATGTTGCTCTCCATCAGGTAATCTTCCATTAGGCAGCTGTTCATAGAAGCAACAGAGTTATATTTTCCAAATGTTCTGTTGTCTAACTCTTCTCTTGGGGTACAGTAAGTTTATAATGAGAAAATGGAGCAGTCACATCTGCCAGAAAAATTTAGTATGTAAGGAATCTAGTCATCCTCAGGTGGGCAGCCAGGATTTTAGGACCAAGGAGAAGCTTCAGTGTAACAACTCAGTGGGGCCTCAGCCTCCCTTTTAGTTTTCTGCACTTGCTTTTCTGTCCTCTATCCCCTGGTCTGTTTTATCGGTTGTGTTTTACGTTTTCTTTCCTAAGACACCTGTGCCTTGTCTACTAAATGAAAACACCAAACTTTACTCCCTTTTAAAGACAGTATATTTAGGTAAGTTCAGAATATGAATAGGTGGTAAAGAATTTGAAACTCAGAAGGCAGAGTTACAGGAGTCTTCAAAGCATCATCTCATAAACATTTATTGTTTGTGTTTTATCTGGAGCTCATTGTACTGTTTTGGTTTTTATTAAAGGTTTTTTTATTTTATTTACTTTGGCATAGAAGAGCTGGGGTACAGGCCAGAAGTGCAGGGTGGGAGTGAGAGGATTCACCAGAGACAAAGTGGGGAGCAGAACAGGTGAATTTACTGAAATACACTGCTGAGGGGAGCAGGAGAAGAGACAGGAGAGGTCTGTTGTCACATCCCTGGCTGGGGATCGAACTCAGGCCATCGTAGTAATAGTGCTGAGACCTAAACAGCCCCTGTGCCCTCACTGAACTGTTAACAGAAGACAAAAAGGAAGTCGAGAGAAGGTAACAGAACATCCACATACTAGCTTCCATTCACCACTAACTGGATAAACATGAGCAGATCACTTAATTTCTAGAGGTTTCAGTTTTCAACGAGCTCTAAAAACTGTCTTCCTTAAAATGAGTCTGTGGGAGTTTGCACTCTCATCACCTTTGAATATAGTGCTAATCATGTAAACGTATATCAGTAATAGCCATGCCCAAATGGGTTAAGGTCTTTGTTTCTTTTTTAAAAAAAGGTATTCAAACTGGATCCAAACAGCCAAGAAGACCCCCTGTTAGTCCTAGGAAGGAGCATGCAGCCAGGCAGTGACCAGTATCACTTCTGTCAACCCACGGATGTGGCTGTGGATCCAGACACTGGAGCCATTTATGTGGCAGATGGTTACTGCAACAGTCGGATTGTGCAATTTTCACCAAGTGGAATGTTCATTACACAGTGGGGAGAAGGTACTCTATAAGATAATCTACATTTCTAGTTGTAATTCTTTTTTTTTTCCCATTGATTTAGTTTTTTATATACTAACTGGGCACAGGCCTGAGGTGCAGGGGTGGTGAGAAGATTCACCAGAGACAGAGTGGAGAGCAGAACAGGCCAATTGAAGAAGTACACTGTTGAGGGGAGCAGCAGGTGGATCAGAAAAGGTCTGCTATTCCATGTGAGTCAGCTCCCACAGCTCCCTGGCTGGGGATGGAACTCCTACTGCAGTGGCTTCAGAGAGCTTGATAGTGCGGTGAGCCACCAGGGAGAGCCCTCTAGTTGTAATTCTTAAATAGTATTACTAGGAACCACCACTCACTGAGTGGATACTAATGTCCCTGCAACAAGGTAAACTGAGCCTCTGCATCCAGCTGGCTTGTTCTCAGTCAGGCACACTCCTGCACTCACTTCTCCTAGGAGAGAAAAGAGAGCACTCCTACAAAACACTTTTGTTCAAATAGGGAGGGAGAAAATCTAGGATGTGTCTGTGGGTAGAAACTACTATGGAATAAACCTATCAACAAATTTACCTTATTTCTCCCTAGTCTCTTATGTCTAAGGGTTTACGGTTATGAATTTGGCAGATTAGAAAACTTGAGAGTCTGATTTTGGATGATTTTGCAGGCTGTAGAGCTAATGTGGTTCCTTGTTCGACAGAGTCTTCCGGGAGCAGTCCGGAACCAGGTCAGTTCCGTGTTCCACACAGCTTAGCCCTTGTGCCTCCTATGGACCTGTTGTGTGTGGCAGACAGGGAGAATGGCCGGATCCAGTGTTTTAAAACTGACACCAAAGAGTTTGTGCGTGAAATTAAGCATGCATCGTTTGGAAGAAATGTATTTGCAATTGCATATGCATCAGGTATTTCATCTTTATTTTTGTTTTCTCATACACTATACTTAAGAAATATTTGTCTTGTTTTAATATGCTCTTTTTATAATTTGTTTCTTATTGAGAGGTTTTAGGTGTTTTATATCAGATCTTCAAATCATTTAAAACTGTTAGTGTATTATAAATCATTTTAAAACCTAGATCCAATGTTCTTTATATGGAACAATGAAGAACTCAAATGATTTAACAACTCTTTGTAATAGGTTATAAAGTTGTTTCCAAACATTGATTTTTTTTTTACTTTTCCTAAATTAAGATTATCTGCTCTAGTTATTAAGGGATTAATATTAGGACGTCACACATCAGCAGCAGATGGTATCTGTTTTGTAAAATCAAATCCAAATACTTCTGGTTCACATATTTTACCCATCCCCAGGGCTTGGGTAATTTTTTAAAAAATTAAATATGTGAAAATACCTAGAAGCAAAGATGGGTCAAACACTACACGACATACACTTCAGCGACATCTTTAAAGACAGAGCACCCAACGCCACAATAGTGAAGGCAAAGATAAATAGATGGGACTACATCAAGTTAAAGAGCCTCTGCACAGCAAAAGAGACATTACTAAAAACAAACAGACAGATCACTAATTGGGAAAACATTTTCTCACACAAAAGTAGCGATAAAGGACTGATCACAAAAATATACAGAGAACTGATGAAACTCAACAAAAATAAAGTAAACAACCCCATCAAAAAATGGGCAGTAGAGCTAAAAAGACACTTCTCCAAAGAGGAAATGCAGATGGCCAACAGGCATATGAAAAAATGTTCAACATCATTCGTAATAAGGGAGATGCAAATTAAAACCACAATGAGATACCACCTCACCCCAGTGAGAATGGCACATCTTCAAAAAACTAGCAACAACAAATGTTGGCAAGGATGTGGTGAAAAAGGAACTCTCCTGCACTGCTGGTGGGAATGCAAACTAGTACAACCACTATGGAAAACTGTTTGGAGGTTCTTCAAACTGCTAAACATGGAGCTTCCTTACGACCCAGCAATCCCACTCCTAGGTATCTACCCAAAAGACACAAAAATACTAATTGAAAAAGATACCTGTACCCCCATGTTTATTGCTGCTTTATTTACAATTGGAAAAACATGGAAGCAGCCCAAATGCCCAAAAGTGATGACTGGATAAAAAAGAGGTGGTACATATACACAATGGAATATTACTCAGCAACCAAAAAAGAGAAACACATGTCTTTTGCAGCAACTTGGATGGAACTGGAAAAGATCATGCTTAGTGAGATAAGCCAGAAAGAGAAAGAAAAATACCGGATGGTTTCACTCATAGCAGGAGTATAATGGACCAGGTGGAAAATAACAAAAATAATGAACAACCATATACCAGAGACATTTTGTGGGGGTGGAGTGGGGAATGGGATCAAAAACAGGGGGGAGGGGGGAAGGAAATGCACGGGATTATGGTGATGGCACATGGGTGACTTGGTGATGGGAAACCGGCGGGGATTACAATTGAGATGGAAAAAAAATGTACAAAATGATGTAAAAATAAACTTTTGTAATAAAAAAAAATAAGAAGAATACATAATACAAAAGTAAGAATTAAATTTAAAAAAAAAAGTAAATATGTGAAGTAAGAGATGCTTATGTCTAAATACCAGCAGGAATGACCTATAAAATCTGGGTTTTTTCCTCCTCATTTTCAAAATAAATTTCGTTGACTTAAAATAAGGAAAGTAATACAAACTTTTAAAGTGAGATCCATTTAATCTATTTTACAAAATAACTTAGCCTACAATTTTTTTAAATAAGTAATAAACTAAAATAATTTAAAATGTATATATATATATATTTTGTAATATATTTTATTAAAGTTGCATGGGGTGATAGTTTTCCCAGGACACCTTCAACTTATTTAGGACTTGGAATAAAGGAACTTAGGTGATTAGGTAAAAAGTAAATTTGGCTTACTCAAGAAGAGATACTAAAGTAATTCAAGACTCTTGCTAATGTCAATTAAAGATAAATTCTCATATTGGTTTTTACCTCCTACTAATGGATAAATTTGGCAAGACCACTTACTTAATAAAGAGAGCAATCAAGTTATAACAAACAAAAGTAAATATGAGGAGAAAACAATTCCGAGAGATAAAAGAAAATCTAGTTAAAAACAGAATCTATCAAAAGGCAAAGTATACGGTAATTGGAATTTTCCCTACAATAGTGCACAATGGTAACTGATGTCGACAGTTTTCTTTTCTCTACTATGATATTACTATAAACCTTTAAAGAATGACAAAAATATCTTCCAATAGTGATTTAGTGCTGTGCAGATTATATTGTGTATTAAGCCGTTGAAATCATGATATTTAATCATCTAAAGTGTTTAAACAAAAATCAGTTTCTATTATTTTTGCTAAACACTACTATACTAAGAATATAATTTTATTACAGAATGTTTGTATAAAATGAAAGGCATACTAAAAAAAAAGTCCTAATATTTTAATTAGGAAAAATGATGATCTTAAGTATGCGTCTCATGTTTTCAAACTTAAGTTTGTTAAAATTAGATCAATCTTCTATTTACACTGTAACTTTATAGTGCTGTAAGTTTACTAATTTTTCCCTTTTTGCTTTTTTCCTTATAGCTATTGCAGATATTAACATATTTTTAACAACATGTTAATACCATAAAATAATTGGTTTAAATAAACGTATCAATACCGATTTAAGGATACTTGTGATATAGCGACAGCTATATCATTCTAGATCAATACATATATCTGTATCATCTGTATTTACACCTTAACCTATCCTTTTATCATCTGTATCTGTCTCTATTGATCTATCTATCTATATGATTTCTCCTGACTTCCTAAATGGGACTACATTAAGTTCTTCGTTTTCCTGGTACAAAGTTAGCCCCCTAACTTGTTTACCCTGATTTTATTACTCAGGAAATAATATTTTGTAAGTATTTTATTTTTCAATTTTGTTATCAATTGTCAAGACCAAGTTGAGCCTGTATATGTTGTTTTTGTAATATGCATGTACGATATTTGGAGTCTTCCATTTTTTTAAAAAAAGATTAATGGAATATGTTGTCACAGGTTTGCTCTTTGTGGTGAATGGGAAGCCTTACTTTGGAGATCAAGAGCCTGTGCAAGGATTTGTGATGAACTTTTCCAGTGGGGAAATTATAGATGTTTTCAAGCCAGTGCGCAAGGTATGCACATTTATTGCACAGGAGTCAGTTTTCATGAGAATTAAAAGTGAAATACAAATCTTGGCCTCCAATAATGCACGTGAATAATATTTAAAATAACTATCATGATATGCGAAATTTATCAGCTAGGTTGGTGGGAGTGTTCTATTACTAGATCAGTTTTTTCAGATGCAGATTAATATTTATGCAGGTCTAAAATTCTTACACAGCTTTGTATATGCTGGCAAGTTTAAACTCACTGCCTTTAGACTATCAGAAGAAAAAGAAAAAATCTTTTCATGAGTTTGTCCAAGTAGACAATCTTCCACAATATGTGAAACTAGACATTTATAGTTCTCTGAGATCCAACAGAAATCTTGTTTGCTTATTTTATGCTATGACTACACTGAGCAACAAGACTTAAAAATAGCCCTTCATGAAATTTATTCAGGTCCTAAGTCTTATTTTGATAAGAGACTACAGGCTGGTTTTGGCTTCATAAATGGTTTACAACTGTTTAGTCTAACAGTGTTTTTTGAAAGAGCAGTGGCTTTGTTCAGCTTCCATATCCTTCTGTCCCCTTGACTTACTTTCTTTGCATTATGATTGCCAGGGTGTCCAAAATGTTCACATTCTACTTGAATGTATTTGTGGTTCATCCATTCTAGGAAGTCCAGTTAGTTATAATATTGCAAATAAGAGATTTCTGAAACATTAAATTGATTGACTTTACTTGGATCAAAATGATATTATAATAAGCTGCTAGATAAAGCCCATCACTGCACTCATAACTCTTAGACTATTCTTTAAGATCAAATTTGCACTATAAAAAAAAAAAAACTTTAAAATGCCTAGTCATTTTAGAAATTTTTCTATTAGAATACTGTTATCTATTAGAGAGCCTAAGGGTTTATCAGAACTCACACAAGAGGTATTTATTAAGTTTCTGCTCTGTGTCATCATTAGACTGCTCACAGAAGTATTTCACCTGAAAAGAATCAAATATATCACAGTAGTTCAGAAAGAAAATCCATTATAGAAATTTGTTCAGAAAGAAATTCAATATATTGATCATATGTCATTTTACTTCAGTGGGGTTTCAGATTATCTATTGATTATCTGTTGATTTTCTATTTACTTTCCCTTTGAATTAGCATTCTCATATTTACTAATAAAATAAGAAGATCTTCACTTTGTAGTAGAGCAGTATTTGCCTTGATTGTCCCTTAATAATAATGTATCATCTCCATCAGGGTATTAACTTTTAATTCAAATGTGCATCTAGAAATCAAAACTAAGAACTAAGGAAAAAGTAGATTTTACATGAGCCCTGACCTCATAAAAATGTGAGTACCCCTAAATTAAAATTTCAGAAAGCACTGTGTGTAAACATCAACGTTCATAGGTCACTTGCAGTGAACAAGTCATAACGTGAGAGTCAATGCAGCAAATTTGAAAAGAGGTCTAATGCTGGAGTGAAATTTGCCTTTTCTTTCAATAAACAAGACTTGATATTAAGCCAAAACATAGAAATGGGATCTGTGTTGATTCAGTAAACTGAAGTCCATTTATGAATATCTCAGACTTTTCATTTAATTACATTATCACACAGATAAAGTTTGGCAAAGGAAATAATATATGGTATTGACTCCCACAGCAGAGGAGTTTTCAGCTAGCCAGCAAGTTTTATTTAATGCAGCTGCGCCTCTGTTGTGTCTATCCACTGCTTATTTTATGTATTTCAGTTCTCTTTCTTCAATTATATTCTTCAATCTACATTTTTCTTGTTTACATACATGAGCTCCTTCTTTATGCAGGAAAATGAGATGGTGGGACAATAAAGTAAATGGTGTCTCAAATGGTGTCAGAAAGTTCTAGAAGGCAAAAGACACATAGTGGCTCCTGAAATTCTTCTGTCCATAATCACAAAGGAAAGTTATGGTTTTGATCATCTCTCTTCACACTCTTCAGGCTGCTGTTTATTTGGTCTTGTCCTTCTGCTGATTAGCTCATGTGGAAGAAGAAAGGAATGACCCCCACCTATCTCCACACAAAAATGGGGGGGGGGAGGAAGGAGATAATGGAGATGAAAATAACAGTTTTGATAATAGTGAGCTGAAAAATCCATGTAAGATAAAAAACTTACCTAAAACAATGCAGTAAGTAGCACATCTCCATCTCAAAGGCAAGTCTTTCTGACTCTAAAGCATACAACAGAATTGTCTGCCTAAAACTACACAGGACAGAATATTCATTAAAAAGATTACAATTTTGGGGGCCTCGCTGGTGGTGCAAGGGGTTAAGTCTCAGCACGGTGACACTCTGTCAAACCACTGCAGCAATCCCTGGCCAGGGAGGTAACCCACATGGTGCTGCAGACCTCTCCTGTCTGGTTCACTGATCCCCTCAGCAGTGTATTTCAGTCAGTCTTCCTGCTCTGCTCCCCACATTGTCTTTGAATCCTCTCACCTCTGCACCTCTGGTCTATACCCCACTCTTGTATGCATAAATAAATAAATTTTAAAAAGTCACAGTTAAGTGCCTCTGACTGCGATAGAAATGAAGGTCCCAAAGCCCTCCACCACTAAGCCTTTCTCTAACCCCTTCAATGGCCCAATAGATCCCTGGGTTCCCTGGGTCAGTTTGAGAATGACAGATGTTTATTGTAATCATAAACTTGAATTGGAAACATACTGTGATTTATTTAAAGTCAATTTTCTATGAATACTTGACACACTTTATTCTCATACTTGTAATATAGTATCAGAAAATATGAAGCCCTTTACAACCATATGTTTGCTAAAGCAGTTGCTAAGAACATATTTTGGTACAGAACAGGAACTGCTGGCAATTGGCAAGTCTGCTCCCTCCCATTAGCTGAACCTAAAATAAAGATGAACCTTTAATGACAAGCTTGCAAGGTTTCAAGAAGACAGCGTTTTGATTCTGGATCTCTGTCCTCTCCTCCACATTTGTCACAGCTCATTTGATAACATGAAGCAATGAGCTTTTTTGGCAGGCTGTCTCCTGTTTCTTTTCAATGTGACAAACTGTTGCTGATTTTTAAAGAGCAAAGGCATCTCTAAAGAATGTGTTCTGCCCCTTCAACAGTGAACTAAGACAGTAGTTTGCCTAATTAGTGTCCTTTTGACTCAGCAAACCAAAGTGGGAAGATACTAGCTGATAAGCCCCTAAAGGCTCCCATTCATAATCCCTGATCATGTTTCTGAGAACTGTATACTTAGGCTGCTGGCCCCAAAGGTGAAAAAAATCATCCACACCCAGCCCAACTGTTAAGATATGCGACACTTTGGAGGCTTCAGTGGGCAGATGGAAGTGGCAATAGTAGTTTAAAAAAAAAAATATTTATGCATACAAGAACTGGGGTACAGGCCAGGGGTGTGGAGGGGTGAGAGGATTCACCAGACAGAGTGGGGAGCAGAACAGTTAGATCAACTGAAATACACTTCTGAGGGGAGCAGTAGGCAGATCAGGAGAGGTCTGCCATACCATGTGGGTCAGGTCCCTGGCCGGGAAACGAACTGACACTATAGTGACTGCAAATTGCTTCATAGTGCTGTGCTTCAACCCGTTGCACCACCAGGGAGAGCCCAGCAATAGCACTTGTAAGGCTGTTTTCCAAGAGCTGGCTTAGTGACTCTGAGAAAGTCATATAAAGTTCTCCCTTGTCTCCTGTGTCCTTATGACTGAGACGGTAATGATTTTGAATGGAAATATGTCATGAAGAAAGATGTATTAACTCTGAGTATCTGAGTAGATACAAAGCTGAGATACGTGGAGGTAATACTCAGTTTCTTTCTGTGCTGACTGAAAATATCTCAAACACTGGTCTTCAGAGGATATAACTCCAGACTGCTGTTTATCTGCTAGTATGCATTTCAGCAATAATCGAGATACCTTGAATCTTTGAAATAACTTCTTATCAGTAATGTGCAAATAGCTTTTAAAAGAGGGCATATGTAGTTGGATGGGAATAATAACAAAAGTTAATACATGATTTTTACTTTTATTGATTAAAAAGGCAAAGTTGATAGTGAGTAAAGGTAAAAGAAATATGAAGGCAAAATGTATATATAAATAAATAGGTCACCAATGCAACATAGACAAACACTTCCTATTTGTAAGAGTTCACTTTTTTTTTTAAGATTTATTTATTTATGCATACAGAACAGGGGTACAGGCCAGTGGTACAGGGGGTGAGAGGATTCACCAGAGACAGAGTGGGGAGCAGAACAGAAAGATGTACTGAAATGCACTGCTGAGGGGAACAGCGAGTGGGTCAGGAGAGGTCTGACACACCATAAGGGTCACTCCTTGGCCAGGCATCAAACTCATGCTGCAGTGACTTCTATAACTTCATAGTGCTATACTTTAGCTCATTGTGCCACCAGGGAGGGCCCAAGAGTTCTGTTTTTAAAAGACATGGATTTCTGGGACCCTCCCTGGTGGCGCAGTGGGTTAAAGCACTGCACTAAGAAGCTAAAGCCACTTCCACATGAGTTCGATTCCCACCTGCCCTGGAGGAGATCCACATGGCGTGGAAGACCTCTCCTGACCTGCCCGCTGCTCCCCTCACCAGTGTACTTGCTCGATCTGCCTGTTCTGCTCCCCACTCTGTCTCTGGTGAATCCTCTCACCCTCTGCATCTCTGGTCTGTACCCCAGCTCTATATGAATAAATAAAATCTTAAAAAAAAAAAAAAGACACGGATTTCTGCCTGACAGGGTCTGAGCCTGCTGGATGAGTTGAATGATTATCCTTGACCTATAGCTTCTTTCATGGGCATTATTGTTTTTTGGTGTGAAGATTGTGCTCATGGCTTTGTTATGTGCAGTGCATTGCTTTTCTGCCTCCCCATGGGGAACTCAAGTACAGGCTCTCCACCCTAAGGTATGCTCTTGTTTCTGCAGCACTTTGACATGCCTCATGACATCACTGCATCTGAGGATGGGACTGTGTACGTGGGAGATGCTCACACCAATACCGTGTGGAAGTTCACATCAACTGAAAGTATGGTTTTACATTATTGTCCACTGATTTTCTGTTTTGTTGCTTAAAATGTAGGGGAAATGTGTATTTTATTTGTTTGTTTAGTAGTCATGGGCAATCAAGGTATAATTGTTAGTTGTTAAAAGATCTTTTGGTACTTATTTCAGTTATTAAGTAAACTTTTAAAAAGTACAGGAAAACTTTTTTTTTTATGGAAATTAGCCCTCTGTTTCCACAGGAAATTCTTCATGGCTAAAGTAATGTCTGTTACTTAGTAAGCCAAAATTAATTCCAATTCAGTTCCAGAAGAAGTAGATGGTTTGACAAACAGCAAGGCTGGCTGGTTCCTGCAGTCCTATGGCTCTTCAGCTCTCAGTAGCTGCTGAGCACCTAGGAATCCAGCATCTGTGTCGGACACATATCATCCCAAAGAGGAATTGCTCTGCCTTTTGCCTTTAGAAGTTCAGTTTGCTCAAAATACTTAATTGGTATGTGTTCCAAGTAAATCAAACGTATGTCTGAAAACAGAACATTTCTGTCAGGATTCAGCCAACTAGAGGATTTTTTAAAATTACAGATTGGAAACAATTTGTAATTCTAACAAAAACATGCTAATCTGGCTTCTGATGTCATGCTACAAAAATCAAACTTTTAAATAGAAGAACACGAAATGCTTAAAAAATGTGAGAACAATGTGCATTTTCTTCATTTTAGTTTTTAGTAGTAGTCATGGGAAATCAAGGTAAAATTGAACAGGATGCTTATAAAATAAAGCAAGATTCATACATCAGTAGATGTGTGTGTAAAGAGAATGTAGTGAGTATGTGTGTGTAGATCTTTACATACACAACAGAATATTACTCAGCCATAAAAAAGAATGAAAATTCTCTTCAACAGGAAAAACTATGTGCAAAAAAAAGGGGAAAATGAAAGTAAATTGTTTAAACACAACATGAATGAAAATTAATTCAAAATGGATGAAATACTTGGATATGAGATCTGAAGCAGTTAACAGCACACAAATGCAAAGGCAAAGGAAAAAAAAGTGGGACTACATAAACTAAGAATTTTTATATGGTGAAAGAAACCACTACAAAAACAAAATGGCAACCGACTGAATGAGAGAAGATATTTGCAAATACACACCTGACAAACGATTGATATCCCAAAGAACTCACACAGCTCAACAGCAACAAAAAAAGGCAGCAGATTTAAAGAGACATTACCCCATGTCTCTTTAACCAGGTGCACTTTGACATGCCTCATGACATCACTGACACTTCATTTGGCATATAGATGGCCCACATAGAGATGAAAACATGCTGAATTTCACTTATTAGGGAATTGCAAAGCAAAACCAAAATGAGCTATTACCTCATACCAGTGAGAATGGCATATTATCAAAGAGAACAGGGACAACCTGTGTTGCCAAGTGTACAGAGGAAAAGGAGCTCTCAGACAGTGTTGCAGGAAATGTATGGGAAACAACATAGAAAATTCCTTTAAAAATTAAAATACCAAATGATTTTGTAATACCATCCCTAGCTGTTTATCTGAAAAATATGAAAACATTACTTTAAAAAGCTACATATATCCCTGTGTTCATAGAAGCATTACTCAAAATAAGCAAACAGCCCAAATGCCCACTGACAAATGACTGGATAAAAAAGTTGTGGCACATTAAAAAAAAATACATACAAGCTATGGCAAAGAAAAGTGAAACCAGGAGCCCCAAAATTTTCAGTCAGATACCTTGTAGGCTTTGGAGTCCAAGAAAATTGGTAACTTGTTCTTTTCAGAATTTTCCTTTGCATAACTTTTACTATTTGGTAAGAAGAACACAACTGGGGTATATGCAGAGTTTTCCATGGGCTAGTCCATTCTATCAGTAGTTAGTTGGGAGGTTCTTCCAACCCCTTGCCTCTTCAAAGAGGAATCAAAGTTGTGGGCAACAAGAAATCAAAGAGAGATGTACAGTTTACAATTGCATACCTAAACTGAGGCTTTTCAGAATAGAAAATCAGTAAATACCTTTCAAGATGCAAAAGACTTCAGAAATATAGCAAATATCTTCCTTCATATTGCAGAGAGGAGAGGACTATGGTAGTTAAATCATGAAGATTCTAGTCTTATACCACCCTAGTGACTCTCATTCAAAACAAGAATATCACCAAGCTACCACCAAGAGTGGATTTTTACAGTGCACATGGCCAGATCCTACTCAAGATCTACAGGAAAGGGGTGATAATATATGTATTTTGATAAGGCGTCCCAGGTGGTTTTGATCCATTACTGTTCGAAAGGCACTGCAATATAACATTTAATTTGCAATAGAAAATCCTCTGTGTAGTCCAGAATGCAACCAAATAATACAATTGGAAAACAGAACCTTTGCAACAGCAAGACCACATTCAGAGGCTATGCAAGTGAACTATTATTTCAGCTTTCCCTAGGAGATTTTATCTAGGATTCATGGACCTGGCATCTGAAGCATAGTTTGTATTGAAATATTTTATAATATGCTAATGTATTTGATGAATTAAGCATCTATTAAGCAGCTATTTGCTGCAGAGTAAAAGATTAATACCAAAGCTAAGCTTTCAGGTTTTTTTGTTTTGTTTTGGGGGATTCTGATTTTATCTCCTCTTGCTTTGCTATTTTGCAGGAATGGAACATCGATCAGTTAAAAAAGCTGGCATTGAGGTCCAAGAAAACAAAGGTTGGTTACTTTCCTCTTATTACTAAGAAGCCCAAAGCTACTGTGTTGAATTCCTATATGGTTCTTAATTGCACTTAAAAAATTTTAGTCAGACGAAAGTATAAAATAACCTGGTAAATTATCCATAATTTCTGCTGCATGCAAAGCCTTTGAACTTGCATGTTGCGCTACTTTTCCTATAAGTGGTGGAGCAGTGATGAGTTCAGATTCACCATGTCAAGTGATGGAAAGAGGTTGAGGAAATAAGAAATCTATAACTAGTGGGCTAGAGACATTCATAAAGGAAAAAAAGTAAGTCAGTTACTTTTGGAAATATGTTAACCTCAGGCAAGCAGAAAAACACCATCCCGTGTATTGGGAAAAGCCTTTTTGTAATGGATTTAATCTACATGACAGAGTTAATATCATAAGGGCCTGATAATATTAACTGTTCCCTAAATTATCTTAGTTCCACTGGACACCAACATGCACTTGGGGCCGTCTGTGTCTAAGGCCAGTCTGCCACAGCTTTTAAAGAAATGAAACTACCTGATTTCAGCAGACTCACAGCTAATAAGGGGTGTGTGTGTGTGTGTGTGTGTGTGTGTGTGTGTGTGTGTGTGCATGCAGGCATACAGACAGGCACGCACGCATACAGACAGGCACGCAAGCACGCAGACATGCATGCACACATGCAGACAGGCATGCAAGCATGCAGACACACATGCACACATACAGATACACATGTAAGCATACAGACACACATGCAGCCATACAGACAGGCATGCAACCTTACAGACACATGTGCAAGCATACAGACACAAATGCACATATACAGACAGGCATGTAGCCATACAGACAGGCTTGCAAGCATACACACACACATGCGAGTATACAGATATGCATGCACACATACAGAAACACACACACACATACACACACATAAATAAGCCTATCAGTGGGATATATATCAAGAATGGTGGAATGGAATTTAGCTACTGTTAAGCACCACTGGACTCCTTTGGAATCCCAGTCAAATTATTTTCTCCTTTTCCTAGAATCAGTTTATGTTTGTATATTTTCTACCTACAGGATTTTACATAGTCATGCGAAAGTAGAAGTGCTCTCATGTTTGCATAGCCAAATGATTGCTTTATTAGTTGCTTTACAAATGATTCTCCTAGATATTCAGACTTAACCCTAGGCTTACTTGTCTTCCTTTCTCATGAAAGCAGGTGGAAAAGAGATGAAAAGAAGCAAGAACCAGGAGGGAGTTTAGGGATTTTATATAGGCAGATAAGAAAATATAGCCGGCTCAAGGTTGAAAGGGGTAAGATAATATTATAAAATAAGTAAATAGAAATTGTTTGGCCTTTTCAGAAGTTCTACCCAGAGGACGCTTCTGAGTGACATTTATACCACACTTACATATTGAAGAAGTTTTTGATCCCCTATTTTTCTGTCATTGTTATATATAGAATCATTAATAACTACTATTTTCCTCGAAATAAAGATACTGGGGAAGATACTTTTTTTTTATTTACAATGGCTATCACGTAGGGAGCACAAACAATGGACTATACAAAAATTAAGTTTAATCTTTACACCAATCATGTGATAATTATTATCCCCATTTTACAGATGAGGGAACTGAAAAATCAGTATTACTACTAGGTGAGTAAGTGGTAGAGGCAGGTTTTGAAGCCAAAGCCTGTTGTCCTACCCACGACTGACTGCTATACTGCTGAGCCAGCATGACTATCACCAAGTCATTCCCATAAATTCTTCCAAGGATTACACACTGGGGATTGTTGTCATTTAGTTTGAATCCTCAGAGATTTCAAAGTAGTTTCAAACCATTTCTGTTTAAACAGGTCCCACCAGAAATTGTCGATCATACAGGTAGACACGTTGAGTACAGCGCAGCCGCACTGACCTTAACGTTGCTAAAGGATGAACAGTGCTCTCCCGTCGGTCACTTCTCTCCCCATAGGTCATTCCTGGTGCACACTGCTGAGTCCATTCCCGGGGAAAGCACCCCAGCTTTGCGGCAGACCCCAGCCCAACAGCTACTTTTATTGAAATGCCTTGTGACAGTCTGGTTTTAACAATTCGGAATCCCTGAACTCAAGTGAAGGCAGGCTATTCCTCTTTGAACCTGAATGACCCATTTCAAGTCCTCTTTGCTTAAAGATTATTTTCTTATGAAATAAGGGATCTTTGAAAGTTTGTCTTTTATATAAAAATCTGGACACTTAACCTAAAACACCCCTGACAAAAGGGAAGGGGAAACATCCTTTCACATCTAACCACCCTATGATTCCATGTTAATTGTAAATTTCAAGATTTGCATAGCCATGATGACATTCATCATTGCTGTTACGGGTCCCACTGCTGGTCAGTAGCAACAGTTTCAGAACCAGAGTTGTGTTCAGGGAGGATCAGGAAAGTGATACAAGTTTTCAAACACATAACAAATATGTCAGTATTCCACCCAAAATATAACCCTCATCCTCTCCCCAACCACATACAACAAAAAGTGAATTCCAAGAAAATAAGAAACTCACTTAGGACCTCCCTAGTGGCTTAGGGGTTCAGTCTCAGCCC